AAGGTGCAAAACGCATACCGAACATGGCTACACTGGGATTCAAGCTTTCCAAAAAATCTTGCAACTTGCCCGGACCTTCACTTAGTAGCACAATGTCGTCTGCCTAAGCTGGATGGGCTCTTCTGCCACCTGGAAGTAAACTAATATCGCTTTCCTCGCACGAGGATATGGCTGTTTCCAGAATTGAATCCATCACAAAATTANGAGGTCAACCCTGACAAACACCATTTTCCGTGGTGAATTCGGATTAAAATGTGCCGTAAGCTCGGCCTCAGCTTCGGCTATTAGCATAAAGCGATCTTAATATTGAAGTTAACTTTTCGGGCACTCCCTTCTGGGAAAAGCGGCACCAGAGCGGCCGACTGGGTCGGAAGCCGCTTTCAGATCTAGTAAGACAGAGATGGTGGGTCTACGAAAATAATGCCGGTGCTCCAGAATTTGGCGCAGAGTGAAGATGTGGTCGATACAACCTCGACCGGGTCTAAAACCAGCCTGGATCTTATGCGTGCACGTTCACGTGCGGCAGACAATCGGCGGAGTATGATGCCAGCGGGAATTTTAGAGACGATTTTGATTAAACTAATTCCTCTATGATTTTCATAAGAGGATCTGTCACCCTTCTTGTAAATCGGTATGATCACCGACTCACCATTCAACTGGAACCTCTTCCCTTTCCTATATTGAACTCAGAAGTTTTGTCAGCTGCAAGACTAACGCTAAGCCTCTATCCTTAAACGCTGATGGGAACAGCCCATCTGGGCCAGAGGCCTTATGCCTTTTGAGATACCTTATTTCCCGTGAAAACTCCATTTTAGATGAAGGACTAGCATCAACTGGGAGCATTTGTCCAGTCGAGGCGGAGATTGAAAGATAAGTTGTCGATGGGGGCCCGTTGAACTGAACCGCGAAACGTTCAGCCCAACGAGCAAGACGGCGTTGCTAATCGTGAATCAGTGTGCCATCGGATTCCTTAATTACCTCACGTCTATTTTCCTAGGACCCGTATTCCTGATTAGATGGAAAAGGTTACGACTATTACCAATAGCCGCAGCTTTCTCCATCTCTTTACACTTCTCCACCCACCACTTTTCGCGGTCATTCCTCAGACTCTTGATGAGCTGGCGTTTAGGGGTTTGCGTGCAGTGTAGTGAGTTCAGTAGCGCTAACAGATGCGTTTATGATGAGTCAATCTAGCACACGACAAGAAAGGCATAGAGCAGTTACGCTTGATTGAGCTTTGATTTCATTTTTGTTCTACAAAAGTTCACTTTGGCTCCTCCGTGCACACGAGTAGAAGCGGTAAACTGTCTTCGGATACCCGGTGAAAACCATCACTCGGTTTGCTATCGGGTATGAAAGCTTAAAACTCCATAGTCCGATTGTACTGAATCTGTACTGAATCATAGTTCCTTTGTTTGAATAATCATAAGAGTTGTTTCATGTACTGCGCGTGTCCGCATCTACGTGAAGGGCGTGCACATAGCACGCTTGCAAATGCTCAATACGTTCCAAGATTAACCATGAAATAAATCTCACAGAAGTTTGTTTGTGCGTACATGGTTTCAAAGACAACACAAAATCACTCATATATACTTTTTCTTCAGCAGTCAAGAAGTACATGACAACGGGCATAAACCAAAATATACCATCTGTTAATAAATACGCTGTTCTCCTCGGATTTGGTATTAGGATTTCGATCGAACTTCTTTCTCTTCGGCACTGCGGCTACATGTTGTTCTAGTGCAGGTCTTTTAACCGGGAAGATGCAACTCTCGCAGTTCTCAATACGAGCTTGCATTTACGTTTGTAAGCGGCAATACAGATATATCGGCTATTTCCATATTCTATGCAGTGATCATATAATAAGTCCAGAGAGCGCGCCCTTCGATTAGTTGCGCTACAC